CATCAGGACAGACAGGTTTGCTGATAAGAAAAATGACTACTCCCAGCCCTGCTGCATGGCACAGAAGGGGCATGACCTGGTCACCAGGCTCAAGGCTCTCTCCCTCAGCAGCTTTGGGATCCTACACAGCTCACCTTTTTCTGTGCTCTAGCATCTTCTGAGTCAGAATGTCTCCAGTAAGAGGTCAGCACCCAACTCCCTCTTCCCTCCTCTTGTGAAGGACAGGTGGCCAACATGGTGACCAGTTGGCCATGGTGGCTGTGGCAGCACTAGAGTTCCCTGTTTCTCTGCTGGAACAGCCCTAATATTCTCCAATACATGGTCGCCCCAAACCTAGCTCTGTGAAGGATTGGGGAAAGGCAGATGGGGCCGCTCATGTAAGCATGGCCCATCCTCATCATGACCTGGCCTGGGCCCCGGGCTCGCAGGGAGTCGCCCCTGCTGTAAGAGCTCCCTGGGTGCGCGTAGCCGTCGGGCTGTACACTCGCATTCCTCTTTAAAGCTGCTCTGGGCTGGGCTTGCAGCCTGCCTGCTCCCTTTGTCTTGACACGTGACACAACAGGCTGTGAATCCTTGTCCTTGGCAGGCAGGGCAGGTCAAGACAAGCTGGCGGCACTGGGGAGTGGAGCACAGTTTATACTGGTCCCATGGGGCCCCACAGTATGAACATTCTGAGGAAGAAAGAAAAGCCTTGTTATAAAGACACATGAGCACACACGTGTACACACAACAGACGTGTACACACACACACATACGTACCACATGCACACGCAGACACAATTCTCCAGTTCCTAAATATAACCCTTAGCTCATCAGCATCTAATGTACCTTTTGGGTCTGAGGAAGGTTTCTAAATACTGTAAGTCTCCTGTCTTCTAACAGACAAGGTTCCCCCACCCCCACCTTTTTGGGGGGAGGTTGCTTCTGGGAATTGTCTTCTGATTCCAGCATTCACTGACCCATTTTTCTTTTTATCATTTAGAAAACAGGTAGTAACGTTTCTCTCTTTCATTCACTAGTCCAAAGCTGGCCAAGCACCCTTTGTTGAACGGTCTTTTTCCTTTAGATCATTCCCTTTTGCACTGGGAGACCACACGCCTGAATACAGATAATCCCACATTGACATTTGGCTTCTGCAGTCCACACTCCTCTTCCCCAGGCCTGAGGTTCTCCTGCTTTTGCCAGAGGACACTTGGCCACACAACTCCTAAAACTTATCTACTTTCTCGGCCCCTTTTCCCTGCTGACCTCCTATCACCATTGATAACATCATTCTTCAAGTCTCTTTACCTAGCTTATCTAAGCTACCTTTGGGCCCTCTCTCTCCCCTTTCTGCTCCATCTAGCTCCGTAAGAGATCTGAAATTGCTTCCAATAAGACACAAATATAAGACCATTAAAATGAATAAAAAGATCAAGAAGAAAGGGGAGAGGAAATCAGACTCCCACCTTATTCATTATCTGAGTGTTAATTCAATCTCAGCCCCTGATCACAGGAGTTCTAGAAAATTCTGACAGCCACTAGGGTTGTCTGCCTGTGATCTTTCCCGTTCAAAATGGTGGCATCCAGGGGGAGGATCCATTTTTCTTAAGGATTATTTCCATCCTTCTCTTACTGACTGCCCTCATCTGGTACCATATGTTAGTGTGGACTCCAAACTACAGTCACAGCACAGGCTTCCTGTAGCCAGCCCTGCCTCCTGCCTTGGCCCTAGGCTCAGCTCCCCCTTGGAATGCCCCACCCACCACTCGAAAGTGCACACCACACGTGTCCACAGACCGTCTAATTAGGGGCTCTTTTACTTGTGCCGTGAATTTACTTGACAGTCTAGTGAAGACTATTCTGTCTTAGAAAAATGTTTTTACAATGCATAAAATAAAATACATAGGATCACAAAGGAAACCAATTATATAGAAATACAAAATAACGAAATATTCTTTAAAGTCTGGGATACAGTAAAATACTTGTTAACACATTCTATAACAAGACTTAGTGATGCGCCTAATAACTATTTCCATTTTGAAGCAATGATGAACATAAATGCTATCTTGAAATATTCACAGCAGCTGTAATATATGAAAATACTGCGATTTCTAGTGATAACAAAGTCACAGGTACATCTAATACTACTGATTTGCTGCTTACATTCATAATTGAAGGAAGTACTATATTTAGTGAGGGGTTATGAAACTAAAGATAAAATTATTTTCCATTCCAAATCCTGTCTGCTCCACTGCTGCATCTCCAACTCTGTTAGGAAATGGTGGTACTACGTACTCCTTTTCCCTTGCTTTATTCTTCAAGTAATCAGTACTGGTCTGTCTTCCAGAAGGTTAATACAGAGGGTGTGCCTGATCATGAATGTAGGTTCTGAGTCTGTGCTGACCTACCTGACACTATGTCACTGTTGAAGGATAAGGCATAACGCTCATCAAAAACGAACAACTTCCCTTTGTAAAAACCATCAGGAAACTCCTCCAGGTACTTGTGGATGCCACCCTTGAGCTGGAACACTTCCTTGCATACTCCCTATGTGTGGAAACACAAGAGGAAATTTGAGGAGACTAGCAGAGGCCAGTAGGAAGCTCCACAGAGGAGCAGCATGCGGTAGGAATGCCGAAATGGGGCTCCTGGCTCCCGCTGCGCGACAGTGAAGAACTGCTGACCAAGGGGGCAAGGAACCAACTGGCAGATCGTGCCTACTAGGGTGATGGGAGAGGACAGCAGTCAGGGCCTTCACTCTCTAGATCCTGGGAAGCCCAACTATTTTTGCTGCTCCCTAAATATAGGAAGACACCTGTTAGGACATGTAATGTTACTGAATTTGCTCTTCTCAGGATCAAGCAAAAGGATTAGGAAAAGGGAGATATCAACTAATCTTTCCCTTTTGTACTTGATGAGTCTCTAAGACTGTTGAGTGCTTTTCACATCTTGAGATTTAAGAACTTCAGATTTTATACTTAGAAACTCTATGCTGGGGAGAATAAATCCCTGGCTGGCTGGGTGTGGGAGAGGGAGTGAAGGTGGGGATTGGAAAGTTCCACACATGCTGTGGGTGCAGCCTTCTTCACTTCCATGCCTGCAGTGCCCTAAGGGTGGTGACTCACCTTGGCTTTGAGGTAGGCTGAACCCCGCTCACAACGGATGCCCCCAGTGCAATACATCAGCACCCTCTTCTCTTTGAAAAGTTCTAGATTTTCATCAACATAGCTAGGGAAGTAACTGAATTTCCTGATGTCTGGGGCTAAGCAGCCCTGGAACCGTCCCTACAATACAGGAGCAGCAGAAAGAAAATGATCAGAAAAACATACCTGGTGAGAACAAAGCTTCTTTCTGTGTCAAACACCACTCCCCACCCCTGCCTTGGCAAGGAAGCACTTGCTCCCTGCTGTTTACATCCCACACGCTAGCCTTTCAAACTTCAAAATCTGGAACTTAGAAACAAGGCTGGTGGGCTGTGGGTCACCCAACCAGAGACCTCAGGGGAACTGGAGAGGCTGCCCAAAGCAAACTTGACAAGATCCTTGACACATGTCAGGGGTAGGCATATGGGAGCCAGAAAGTCCATTATGTGCCAAGATGTCTTTAATCCATATTTTCTTAGACTTTCTCACCAGATTCTGAGTTTGAAGTCTTGGGTTTTCTCTGATGCTGCTAGTAGTGCGAGGAGAGCCACTGACTCAGCCACAGGTGGGCGCACAGCGTCCCCTTCAGAAACATGCTATGCTGTGGGAACTCAGTTCTGGTTCTTACTTACTATTTTGCTTTCATAGAAGTTTCTGCAGTCCAGTAGGATGGTATCACTTTCTTCTTGATTTTCCTGAGACAGAAACTTTTCTACTTCTTTATGAAATTCACCTGGGGATAAATGGATTCCTTAAACCAAACAAAAAAATCAGTTAAAACAAAACAAAACCCAGTTACAACTGGCCCAGCCCGATGACTTCCATTTGCTTTGTTTCTCCCCACCGAAACCTTTCCTCTCATAATTACAATTACGTCTGAAAATGACACTATCTGATGATCATAATGGAAGAATTTAGTAATTCCATGTATCCTCACTCTCCCTCCTCCTAAGATGAGCACTGTGGAGACCTGGCAGTTTAGAAACAGAGAATTTTGCATCCTCATACTTGGCCTAACCCAATAATAAAAGCCAGACAGAAGGGATATAAACTGCCATGTGGGTTTTCCGGTCCATGTTATGGCCAGTGTTCTACTGTCACTGTATATGGAGGAGCCTGGGCATGTACATGCTTGACTACAGGCTTTATAAACTGTTCTATACCAACGTCAAGTCCGAGGCTAAGAACCCTGGCACAGGTAGGTGTGAGCATATGGTTATGGAACAAAGTTGGAGTAAGTTTTTTAAAAATACAAAAGAGTAAGAAGAATGTGTCTAAGTTTGTGTGCATGAGTAAAAGAGAAAAGGGCGGGAGGGGCTGACAGCAGGAATGAAATATGAGAAGGAAGGCAAGAGAGAGAAAAGGATGAAATGCTAGAAGAAGGAGGAGAGAAAGGAGATGAAGAAGATAAGTAACATACAAGGAGACTAAAAGGAAAGAACCTGTCTGGTGAGGCCCTCTGCCTCCTCTACTCTCTAGGATAGAAATACTCCTGTATCTTTAGGGTCCAGACATCTCAGTAGTTTGTGAGGAACTTCTGGTGAATTTGGCCACCATACCTCACATGGTGGTGGGGGCGCTCTGGTCCTTGAGTCACCACTCATGATACAGCCTGACAGCTCCGCTCAGGGGTGAATCCCAACAACCCCCTGAAACTGCTGGGTACCCAGATCGGGCTGGAGACCCAGAGCACGGCCAAGGAATCTGGACTCCTACCTGCTTAACCTAGGACTGCAGGGAGAATGTAACAAGGCCAGATTTTATATAAGTTACTGTCACATAATTTACACAGTCACCAAAACAGTGGGGTGGAGGAAAGGGAGGTTCAAAACTGTGATGAGAAGCATGGAAATCTGCTAAGACTTCTCCTTACAGGGAGCTGCAGGGAACCCAGCCTGTTCCTGCTGCTGCTATTACTGTGGCTACTTTCCTGGCCCTGTGGAGGCCTGACCAGAGAGTGACTCACATGAAGTGCTTAAAAGAAGTGCCTCCAAACAACTTGGCTCAAATGAAAGCAGCAAAGCACTGCCTGGAGCCCACTCTCCCCTAAGCTCCGGAGCAAGGTCCTGTAGCGCCAACGAAGAGCTGTTTGTGGTCATCCTGCCTCCTGCCAAGGTAGGGACACTAAGCAGACATGGCCCTTTTTGGCCCTTTTCTCCTCATACATGAGTCTCTTTTCCCAGATGCTTGTATCTTACTCTCATTTCCCTCTGGTTTAACTCTTAGCCTTCTTTTTAAATATTTACAAGTTAAAAAAATGAACATAGAGCCAGCCAGACCTTTCTGTTTCCTGATGAAAGGGGACAATACTACCTATGAAGTAGACTTGGGGAAAAAAAAGGAAAGAAAGAAAAAAGGAAATCAAACCTGAACCTGATCAAGTCTCTAGACATGAGCTATCTAATATGGTAGCCACTAGCCACATGTGGCTAATAGGCACTTGAAATGTGGCTTGAGATGTGCTGTAATAAGGGTGACATAGATGCAGGATTTCAAGGACTTAGTATACAAAAAAAAGAGTAAAATATCTCATTAATAATTTTTTACACTGGATACAAGTTGAAATAATATTTTGGCTACATTCCATTTAATAAAGCATATTATTGAAATTAATTTCACTTGTTTCCTTTTACTTTTTAAAATGTGGCTACTAGAAAATGTAAAATTCCATTGTAGCTCACATTATATTCCTATTAGACAGCACTATTATAAATCTAACTACAGTTCATAGGAAATACAGAGGACAGAGGAACATCCCATGGAGATGCAATCAGCATTATACTGATTGTGGGAAATGCTATAAGCAAAATGATCTAATTCCTTCAAAAAATAAACTGCAGGGGAAAATAAAAGATGGAAGTGAATCTCTAGATTAAAAGGGACTTTAGGAGACATAGTGATCAATCACAATGAGTGGACCTTACTTGCATCCTGATAGAAACAAACTTAAAAAAGTATGAGATAACTGGGAATTTTAACCACTGGCTGGATATTTGATAACATTAAGAAATTGCTGTTAAAATGTTTTAGATGTGATGATGGTTTTACAATTATTTATTTTTAAAAAAACCTTTATCTTTTAGAGATATCTACTAAAATAGTTATGAATGAAATGACATGACATCAGGATTCTCTTCTAAATGATCCAGGATGGGAGAAGGGGGTGGGGATAGATCAAAGCTGGCCATGAGTTTATAACTGTTGAAGCTGCGGGAGAGGTACAAGGGAGTTCACTGTACTGTTTTCTCTATTTTTTTTAATGTTTGAAATTTTTCATAGTAAAAAGTAAAACAAAACCAAAAAACCCAGCCAAACAAATGTCTTTCAACCATCTACGGTACCCATGAGGCAGGGGCAAAGAGAACATTCTAGAGCACTTGCAAACAAACTGCTTTGGTGTTGAAAGCCACTTGCTTCCTGTAGCAAAAAGCCTGTGTTTTATTCAGTTGATGAACTATTTACAAGTAATAATTACACTCTTTCCAAATTGTTATCTTTGGAAAGAAAACAACTTCTTGCCAAACCATCACCAAAAAGAATAACTAAGCCAAGTCATTCAAAGTAGTGAGTCTCCAATCACCGGAGCACCAAAGAGAAGAACCAGTTTAAGCACTGAATGACCCAAGTGTTAGCCACCCCACAGATACTCTGAAGAGAGAACTCATCACAACTCTTGCTGATCAGAATGTCTAGCTTTCACATTTGTCTCTATATTAAGATTTGTCCCTATGAAGAAAAGGAAAATGCTTCTTCTTAAAGCAAGCATACCAGGCTTCTTATAGGAGATCCTACTAGGACTGATCCCCATGGGCACAATCTCTGCAAACACACCAACACGCAATTCTGGAAAACAGCAAGCTCCTCCTTTGCTGGTCTAGCCAATGAGAAACAAAACAGAATACAGTCTTTCTCTCCCATTTCCAGGTATAAGATATTTATTCAGTTAAATTATCTGGAACATTCTATGCTCTAACTCCCTTTTCCCACTGAAACAGTTGTTCCTAATTTGAGGTTTCTTAATACTTCAGCTACCCTATTATTACACAACAGATATAATTCTTACATTTGGCACTTATTTATTGTGTATCTACCATGTGCAAAAATGTCAAATTGAAAAGGTGTTTCTATAGCAATAAGCATTTAACTATAAAACTGAAATACCACTGAGCAATTTCAACATGTAAGATTACAACCCAGCTTTTAAAGCTACAACCTTTTCTTTTCTTATCATCATCACCAGCACTAACACTAGCGAGGTATTCCCCACCACCTCTATCACCCATGATGCTAAAGCATAAAGTCACTCCAACAAAGCAGCTCTCTTGGGAGAGCAATAGCTTTATTCCCTGTGTGGTGTGAAGTGCAGATCTGATCCCACCAGGTTCACTAAACACGTAGTGATCCTCTGATACAGCCAGGTGGTCTCTCAAATGAACAAACACGGCTAAGTTTGAGAGTTTATAGAATATATAAGCTGTAACGTCCTTATTCTATAAAAAAGGAGACCAAGGCCCATGATCACGTGGTGACGTGGTGGACGAACTGGAACAAGCATGCTCCTTCTCCTGCACTGCCTCGGGACCTAGCAAGAAAAGGGTGTTCTGTCCAGCACTGCTTACTTCTCTATAGTGATCCTCTTCATAGCCTGGAGTGGGAAGAGGCACTGAAGCAGAAGCAAATGGCTCTCGATCCATTTTATGTTCAATTTCTCTTACCTTAAAATCGTCCTTACACAGATAATCCTTAAACAATGGGCAGGAAAGCATGACTTCTACATAGAGTCTGGTGGCCAATTTGCTTCCACCCACTGTCCCATTGATTCCTTCTGTAGCAATTCGAACCTGAGACACAAGACAGTGAGAGAAAGGGAATGCAGGCTGTTCTTAGCTCGGTTCAAATCTCTGCAGGGCAGAACAGGTTCATGTGTGTCAATGAGTTTAACAGGAAAAGCAGAAACATTGCTGTGGACACGAAAGTGTTACCACACACAGGATGCTTGTAGTTTTCTAAAATGGCACACTGCCCATAGTTCAGACGAGGTACTCAGTTAACGTGTGCCAAACAAGAGAATGAAATGGATAGAACAACTGGAAAGTCCCATTTGCTATGGAGCTCCAGCTGTCCAGTGGCCAAAACTTAAATTCAGGTCAACAGATGTAGGATCAGGATTCAGCTTTGCCATTTCCTTGCTAAGTGACCCTGAGAAAATTAATTCTCCTCTCTGAACCTCCATTTCTTCATCTTGATAAAACATGAAAAAGAATCAACAATGAAAAACTGCTGTCCTCAAGTCCTAAAGCACAGAACACATCTGAGGGCTGGGAATGCACGTGAGCACATCTCTGCACAGTGTTGGAGGCAAAGCCCACCGCTGCAAACCCACCCGTTGGAATACAAATTCCACAAGGAGGAGCTCGTGTCTCTTCTGTTCTTTGTTGCATAATCGGTGCCTAGAGTAGTACTTGCCACACAGTAGGCATTTAATATGTATTTGCTGAGCAAATGAATGTGTATCCAAATCTGAGGCTTTTTGGCTTCTCAAACCGTCTATTCTCTTTGAAATGCTTCACTGGTTAGGGGACATTAAAGCCTGGGTTAAGGCCCCTGCCTTAAGAGGCAATCCTCTGGAGGGCCTGCAAAGTTACTTGTTCTGGTACCACAAAATCCTCTGGATAAGTTTAAAGATGGATCATCTCTAGACAGAGCTAGCTTTCTAGGGAAAAGTAAGAAAGTGCAACACTGTATATCATGGTATTCTCTGGAAAGAGATGTAATTTAAGTCAGGGTCTTATATTGTTACCACTTCGTTATATATTGTTATTTATATAGCAATGATACCTACCAATGCATTAGAATTTGAAAAATTTTAAAAGCTCCCCTTTTATTAGGGCCTAGAGAAGATACTTCGTTTGTTGCCTCACTTGATTCAATTCTTTAGGGCATGGATATAAATGGGATTCATTTCACAAGCCAGGGCCAACTCACTAGTAGTGGCTCTCCAGAGTTCCATGATGAGCATTCTGAGTCACATCCAGGCTCCTTGAGAAAGAGGAGTGCAGTCTATTGAAGCCTGTTCTGGGCTGGGAGAGGAAAGTAGGAAGCATATGCCATCTCTGCTGTACAGACTACTGCACCTATTACCGACTTGTATTTTTTTAAGGGACAACATAGAAAAATAGAGCTGAACCAGCATAAGGGTCAGGAAATCTACCCTAAAACTGTCTCTGACGGGGGCAAATATGATGAAGAGGTACATACGTCTGTGTACCTGTCTTCTAAGTAGGTCAGAAGACCCTTTCCTATGCTATTTTAATCTCAGAACCCAAATAAAAGACAAGCACAGGCACTCCCTAAATACCTGAGGCAGAGCAACCTCTAAACTCATGCACTAGACTTTCAACTTCTGTTGAAGGATTCTTCAACTGAAACCTTCAAAGTAGCTGCTAGGTGAGGAAGGCCTTATACCTCAGGGATGAAGAGCAATAGTTAGCATTTATTGAGTACCTAGTATGAGACAGGAACTTTACATTATACTCCTGGAAAGTAGATATCAAAATTCCCATTTGACAGAAAAGGAAACAGAAGCTTAAAGAAATCAAGTAACCTGCCCAAGGGCACAGAGTTGGTAGGTGGTAGATCTGGGATTCAAAACCATATCTTATTGGGTCCAAATCTTGCAATTTTTCCTTTCTAAAGCCTCTAATGCATCCCCTCAAATTTCTTGAGGCAGTAAGAAATGTATAGCAAAGGGATCAAAAGCTTCTTTCCATAATTCTAGAATTTTCAAGTTATCCTCTTTCCCTACAAATGCCAACATTCTGCCAAATCTCCTACCAACACAAAACTTGAAAACTTGGCTGAAGCCTTAAAATTTAGAACTAGATCCAGGCAGGTGCTGCCACCTTGTGGGCAGAGGCCCTCACTGCTAGGTCACCTTGGGCTGGGCCAAGAATAAAAATCGGCCCCAAACCAAGGAAACAAATTGATTTCCTATTTTGTAGGCTCAGGTTTACTGTGAGAGAATATCCATCTTTCAAGGTGTTCTCTAAATAGAGATGGTGATAAACGTATATACGCCACAAGTGTTTACTGAATTTTTTTTTTTTACAATGCGCCAGCAATTGTGCTAGGAATTGGGTCATAGTGGTTAAAAAATAAATAGTTTTTGCCCTTTGGGAGCTTACAGACTTAAGGAAGATCACAGATATTCAGACAAAAGTCACACACTGACAAGTGCTATGAAAAATCACTGCAAGAGGCAATGAAAAAGTGTATTTGGAAAACTGAATTTAGATTAAAGGTCAGGAAGGATGTCTTTCAGGAAGTGTCATTAAAATTGAGAACTGAAGATTGATTAAAAATTATGATAGGAGAACCCGAGTGGGTGTGGGAGAGTTCCTTGAAGAGAATTTTCTTACAAAAAGGCCCAAAGGCACCAAAAAACTTTGAGGGCTCCAAGAAACTAAAAGGCTATTTTGCTGGAGTGTAATGAGTAAAGAATGGTATCAGATTAAGTGTAAAAGGCGTAAGGGGCCAAATAATCCAGGAAACTAAGGGCACGTTAAGGGTTTGGGTTTTACTCTAAATGCACTGGATAGCTACTGAAAGATTGTGAGGAGGGAGGGAGGGAGATGATTTCATTTACCTTTTAAGATCATTCTGGCTGCTGTGTGGAAAATGATTAAGTGCGGGCAAGGATGGAAGAATGGAGAGTAGTCTGGAAGCTGCTGAAATGAACTAGGTAAGAGAGGGTGGGGCTTGGTTTAAGGTAATGGAAGCAGAAGACAGAGTGAACGGAATCAAAGGATATTTTAGAGGCAGAAATGGCAGGACTTGGTGATGAACTGAATGAGGTAAAAGAAGCTTTCAGCCACTATCTATAAAACAACATGGGTATGAAAAATATCACTGACTGATCAAATAATTGCCTTAGGGAATTAAAACCTAGGACATGTGTGGGAAACATTAGGCCTAAGACAGTACAGCGTCATAACCAGAGGTGATCTCAGAGGGAATCTAGTTCACCTCCTTTTGATTTAAAATACATATATACACATATGTGTGTGTGTGTGTGTATATATATATACACACACACATATATATATATGTAATCATCGAGGATTTGAAAAAAAAATCCATAGTCCTATCGCGTAGAGATAATCACAACTAACATTTTGATATTTACCACTCTCCATCTTTTTACACACACACTTGTGGTTTTGTTACAAACATACATTCATCCTTTTACTCAACATTCTCCAAATATTTACTGTCTGCTATGTGCTAAGCCCCGTTTTAGCACTGACAATATATCAACTGATTAACAAAGTTCTGTACTCATGAAGCTTATATTCTACAAGGGAGATAGATTATAACAAATTAAACAAAGATTATACTCTCCAATAGTAGTAAATTTTTTGAAATTCTTTGAGCAGAAGGGAATAGAAAGTGATGAGGTTTGGAGAGAGGAATGATGAGGTTTGGAGATTATACTCTCCAATAGTAGTAAACTTTTTGAAATTCTTTCAGCAGAAGGGAATAGAAAAGTTTGGAGAGAGACAGATTAGAATTCTCAGGAGATAACATTTGAGGGGAGATCTGAAGTGAGGAACAAGCCATGTGAAGATCTGGGGGAAAAAACATTCAAGAGGGAAAGGAAACAGCAAATGTCAAAACCACAAAATGGCAAAAGACTGACATGTTCTAAGAAAATTAGGAAGCAACTTGATATCACACCTATATGTATAGTTCTATAAAATGTTTTTCCAGTTAATATATCAAGAACATTTCCCCATGCAAGGGGTCAGCAAATTATGCCTGCTTTTACATAGGTTTTACTGGAATATGGCCATATCTGTTCTTTTACATATAGTCTATGGTTGTTTTCATATTACGACACCAAGTTTGAGCAGCTTTTGTGCAAATCCTAAAATATTTACCATATGGCTCTTTAAGAAAAAGTTTGCTGATCCCTGGTCTATGCCTTTATGTAGTCTTATAAAACACCATTTTTTTAAAAATTGAAGTATAGTTGATTTACAATGTTGTGTTAATTTCTGCTATACAGCAAAGTGATTTAGTTATACATACATATACATTCATTTTTTAAATATTTTTTTCCATTATGGTTTATCATAGGATACTGATTATAGTTCTCTGTGTTATACAGAACGTTACTGTTTATCCATTCCATATATAATAGCTTACATCTGCTAACCTCAAACTCCCACTCCATGCCTCCCCCAATCCCCTCCCCGTTGGCAACAATGTCTGTTCTCTATGTCTGTGAGTCTGTTTCTGTTTTGTAGATAGGTTCAGCTGTGTCATATTTAGATTCCACATATAAATGAAATACAGTATTTGTCTTTCTGGCTTACTTCACTTAGTATGATAATCTCTAGTTGCATCCACATTGCTGCAAGTGGCATTATTTCGT